CCGCTGAAGCTCTAGCATTGCTCCGTGGAATACGATGCAACTCATGATGCCAACTGCGTAAGCTCGCCAGCATCGGCTCGTAGGCACTCAGGATCATAATGTCTGAGGTAGGTTGCGAAGCGGCTACGGTACTGTCGAAGCCCCAACCAGGGCGAGCGATTCTGCAGTTGTTGGACCGGCCATGGAACTCTGAGCCGTTGAAGCCTCCCACAGCCAGAATGGCTGTGTTCCGGTGTCTGTTCCAGAGGTTGCAGCCCTACCATGGCTGGATCTAGAGCCCATGCCTCCTTTCATGTAGAGCTATAGGAAGTGTTTCCGTTCTTTAAGTAGCCGCTAGGACCGCTAGGGAAGCCGGGAAGCCTGGACTCCGAGGAACGGAGGCTTCAGATGCGAGCTTTGGCGAAGTGACGAAACAACCGTCGGAGCTCCGCAGCGGAGTGGAGAACTCTTAAACCTGGAAGCCGTCGCAGCACCAGCACCAGCAGTGCTCCTGCTGCCGCTGCCGAAATTCAGACACTTGACTCGCGTCAGGGCTTTGGTTCTTGTTTCGAAAGCAACATGGGAAAGGTTCTCTTTTCGACAGAAGTTCTCTAGACCAAGGTACGCAGCGCCCGGTGGACTTCATGCGACCACGAAGCTTCCAACTGTATGGCCTTGGGACAGACTTGGACCTGGATGCCTTCTGCCAAGCAAAAGCCATGGCCAGACTGACGCAAGCACGCTGCTGCACTCGGGCTTTCTCCAAACTCCCTTAAACCTCAAACCGCACTTTTCAACACATGCGGAAAAAGGGTCAGGCTGCAAGCCTCAACGCCGTCTGCAAAAATTCGTCTTCCTGCCACAACGCGCGGGTCTACAGTATCGGGCTCCATGATTTTAAGCTTTATCGCGCAGTCCTGCGCATTGCCGAGATCATAGTTTGAGACATGATTGGGGATTCTTGCCTCTCCAAAGACTCCCAAGAGTTCATCTCATGAAGGTACATAGAGGTGTTACAGGCGCGTTGTCTTGTCTTGTGCCCTCTACCCCTGTTCCTACACCTACACCTTGCGGCTGCAAAAGACCCTTGGGTTTGCATCTTCCGTGCTGGCCTCAGCGGTTTACGCGCAGCTTTTGAGGCTTCGGCACCGGCTTTTGGCTCTGAGGCTGGATCGGCCTTCGCAGCCCTGTAGGCCCACGAACTTCAACCCGAAGCCGCTGTCAACGAGCACGGCTTCCGCAGTGCGTCTCCATTGTACCAGCGTCACTCCTTCCTCCAAATAGGCCCATGCCATAGTGAGCGACAAAAGCTTGCTTCCAGCTTTCCTCGCATCTGCCATTCACGTCGCGAGATGTCACGAAGCGGATGTTGGAATCAGGATCGGCTTCGTTTGCTGATGAAGTCATTTGGCTTGCATTCCCCGTGGTTTAGAGCTCGAGCAAGAGCTTATGCCACGGTTGGGAGGCAATCATAGTCACCAGATTTAGGTCTGCTGGTTTCGACGCTGAGTGCAGGGCTTTGTTAACCGCGACTCGCTTTCTCCGACCTAGATTGACTTTGTAAGGATATAAAACCTCGGGACACGCTCCGTCGATGCCACCGGTATCCACATGGCCTGAAGTCAAAGGGCCGCTGGCTGCAGTCAGCCTCTGCGGCCCGTCCCGATACAGGAGGGTTTTGAAAGTGTCCTCGTCAGCGCCTGAGTTCGGGCAGGCCAGGGCGAGAACTAGGGACCTCTGATTGGAAAGTTCTTGGAGCTCTTCGCAAAATTGCGGCCTCCCTGGAATCCCGTCTCTTCATAAAATCCAGATTTCTCTTCCATGAAATCGTCTTCCTT